GATGTTATGACATCTGCGAGGTATGCTGTGGGTGAGTTTACATTTTGGTCAAAATACTTATAGATTTAGATTTCTTATGCTGTGTAAAAATGAAATTCTGTTCCTATAATAAAGTAAACAGGATTGCTGAAGAAAAAAAAAAAAAAACTCAACTACAGGACCAAAAAAAAAAAAGTGGTAGTTAAATAAATTAATTATATACTCAAGACTGAAAAATAAAAGAACTAAACTACAGGACCAGAAGAAAAGAAGTGATATTTAACTACATAGCATGAAATCAAAAAACGAAAGAACTTAACTACAAAACTGAAAGAAAAGTAGTAGTTAAATGCAAATTAACTACATATCTAAGACCAAAAAACAAAAGAACTTAACTACAGAACCAGAAGAAAAGAAGTAATAGCATACCTGAGAGCAAAAGATTGAAAGCTACAAAGTTTATACCAATTCCAAAACAAATACTTAACAAATACAATGAACAAGATTAAATGAAAAGACAGTATTTAAATAGATAATGATAAAATTTTTAAAAAAAATATAATGATGCATAGATAAAAAAAAGAATACCAGATATATATATATATATGTATATACGTATAGTACATAAATCTAGGATATAGTTAGAGAGTCAAATTATATATGACCTTGAAAATCTCACCTACATACTAGATTTGTAAATAGACAATATAAAAAATAAGCTTTGCTAATAATTAGTAATTATTAATTTTAATAGCAATGTTGTAGAGTTTGCAAAGTTTATAGTATTTATCTATATATTCTATAGAACTTCTATAACTTTTATATAAAATTATTTACTAACTATTCATAATTGCTAAATTTCTGTATAATAAAATTTTATAATTTCTCTTGCACTTAATTTTTGTACAAGCTTTTTATTTAAATTTAATTGCATTTCTGTGAATTTATATTTAGAACTTCATTTATACAAAAAAAAATTATTTGTATATATACATTTTGTGCAAAATAATTTTAAACACTGAATATATATAGAGTATTTTGTATACAATCTGTATAGTATATTGAATTTTTATATAGTAAATAAAAAAATGCTTCTGATTAAACTTTTTAATATTTTAGTTAATTTTTATTAAATTTATATAATATATAGTTTAACTAGTTTGTTTATAACAATGAAGTTATAAAATATATATTAATTTAAAAAAATAAATTATATATATAATAAAAGTTTTTAAAATCACTATATATTTTTTTAAAATTATACAGAAATTGCTAGTTCTGATTAGTCAAATCATATGATATCATATATATAAAGTTGATATATAATTTATTTTATATAAAATTATAGTAAAATTTTATACATTCTATTTTTAAGCTAAATATGGAGCATTTCTACAACTTTTATTAGAAGCCCAATAGTAATTTATTTAGTAAAAAAAAGATTTTAGATTGAAGTGCTTCATATTTGATTTAATAATAAAATTTACTTCTAAAAATTTGCAAATTTTCTTTAAATAACAAATAAATTGTCTATTAATATATTAGTTACTATGATTTTTATTTAATATTAAAAATTAAGTTTTGTTAAATTTAGCAGAGTGTGATATCACAGGTTAACAAATATGTATATATTTTTAAAAAAATCAAATTTATTATTAGTCAAAGTTAGTGTTCAAGCTAATATTAGATTAGAATTAAAATATATATTATATACAAAATTAAGTAAAAAATTTTAATTAAAAGCCTAAGACTAGTTTATATAATAAAATTTTAAGCCAAAATTTAAATCTGTATCTAGTTTGCAGATCTTTCTGTATAACATCAATATTTATATACAATTCTATTAACTGATGATAATATGATCATCTGATTTATTATAATTTATTAAATTTTGAATAAAGTTTTCTTAGTAACCACTTTATTAATATTAATAATTTTTTTTATCTGAATTCTATGAATATATATAGGGAATTAATATTTTCACACCCTTTTTTGATATTGCCACACCTCTGCTAACCCTAAACCCTAACCAAACCTAATAATTTATATTAATTTTTATTAACAGGATGTGGTAATATCAAAAAAGGGTGTGGAAATATCAATTTCCTATATATAATTCAAATCAAAAAATTTTATTGAAATTGACAAAGTAGTTATTGAGAAAACTTTGCTCAAAGTTAGAAAATTTTTACCTTTGCAATTATTTAAGTTTTTTTAATAATTACTTAACTAATTTCTATAAAATTTTTTACTTAAATTTTATATAATTATAAATTCAAATAAAAATTTTTATAAAAATTAATTAGATAATTATTAAAAAAACTTTATTTAAAGTTTTAAAAAGTTAAACTCATAGCCGAGAATGATTTTTTTCAAACAAATTTCTTAATAACTACTTAAATAACTTCAATAAAAATTATTTTATCTGAATTCTGTATAATAATAGAATTTAAATAAAAAAAGTTCATCAAAATTAACAAAAACTTCACCCAAAATTTAAAAAATTACAATTTTAATTTCAATTAATAAATTGACAATTATATTATCATCAATTAATAGGATTGTATATAAATATGGATGTTATATGGAAAGAGCTGCAAACTAGACACAGATTCAAATTTTGCAATTTTGAGATATTTAAAATTTTAACTTTTTTTCTTAAGTTTTTCTAATTTTTCATTCATTTTTGTTATATAAAATCTTGTAATCTAATTGGTCAATCATATTAATCTGCAATATAGCAACCTGTGATATTTAGTATTATTTAAAAATTTTACTAAATAACTATTTTTTGGATTTTTAAATAAAATTATAAAAAAGATATTTTGATTATATATGCTACTAAAATTGGTTTTAAAAAAAATCTATTTCATCTCTATTAGAACAAATTTAATAGGTAATCTGTAAGATACCTGAATAAAAATTTTTTTATATATAAATTTTACTACAAGCCTAAAAGTGCAATATGTCTATTTAAAACCTTTTTTATTAAACAAATCACTCTTAGGCTTCTAACAAAAGTTATAGAGTTTATTAAAATGCATCTAATAGTGAAAAAAACATTAAAAAATTCTTAAAAAACCTTTATCAATATATAAAATTTCTTTAAAAAAAAATCAAATTTTTTTAAAGAAAATTTATATATTGATAAAAGATTTTTTAAAGATTTTTCAAGAACTACCAGGCCAATTGATAAACTTTACAACTTTTGTTAAAAACCCAAGAGTGATTTACTTAGTAAAAAAAAAAATTTTAGATAGAGATGCTGCACTTTTAGGCTTATAATAAAATTTATATATAAAAAAAAAAATTTTGTCAGATATCTTATAGATTGCCTATTAAATATTTTATATAAAAAAGCAAATCTAATTTATGTATTTTTGTTTTTTATAATTTGGTTTATTTAAACAAAATATTAAAAAATTTTGTCTTTTAAATAAAATAGAATAAAAACAATTTTATCTTCAAATTTTAATTTCAGGTTTTAAACCCCAAAATAATTTCATTAGCATGTATAATTCTAATTAGCACCAATTTATTAATAGAATGTCTCAAACTCAAATCAAATATCAGGAATACTTGAATTTGAAAAATCTGTACCGTATTTGCGCGCAGGGGTGTAATTTGAATTTCGGTCTAAATTAAACTTAATTCGGGCCATTATTCCAAATAACGCCCATGTGCGTTATTACACGTAAATACGGTATTTGAATTTACCTAAAATTAAAATCTTTATAGTAACAAAAAATATAGATTTGTATAACTGGTGATATCACTAGTAGTAAGATGTAATAATTTGGTCTTTGGAAATTTCTGAACATTTTTGCTTGGTACCCTAATGTGAGTTCGGTGATAATCACCACCGGTTAACCGGTTATGGTTACCAAAAAATCCAATATATAATACAGTATTAAATTTCAATCTATTTTGTTAATTTTGAAATAAGTATAAAAATATCTATTAATCAAAATATTTAAATAAACGATTCAAATTCATGAATATTCACTATTTCATTTTCATTCACGTTAATACATAAAGATGAATATAAATCAAATTTAGGTTGAGATTATAAGAAAATTTTTATTATGAAAAATGTGTACATGTAATGTATCGAAGATCGAAGATAACACGAATAAAACATGGCCGGGGATGTGATTCAAATATAATGATTCAAGGATGGACAGTTGGAGATTACTTTCAATTTATAAAAAGAGTTATCAGAGATAGCGTCGAGAGAATAAGCACTGCTTATTTATCATGCCTCGAGAATTTAGAAAAGTAATCGATTACGAATGGTGCTATATATTATGTGATAAAAAACCGTCTAGGTTAGATCGGAGAATATTTTAATGATATAAAGCATTCGAAATAATGATTCAAGTGATAACGTTTACGAAAAAACTTTATATAATGCTTACCAATGCGTATAGCGATAACATATAAAACGAATGACGTAAAGTTTTTCGTGGTATTCCTACGTTGTAATTCCTTTTCTTCAGGAGTTGGTCTTGGAGGTTGCATAAACATTTTCCCTTTGGTGAGGATAAAAAAGCTCAAATTATAAAATCTGTATAATGGAATTCGTTTTTATTGGCTGATCAACAAGGATTTCGATTGGCTAAAATTAATGGTTTTTGATTATCGTTATCACTCATGCTCATGTGAAATACGTAAAATATTAAAATCGTGCCGTTCTACCTTTAGTTGGAATGATATCCATCTTCCCACACTTTCATCACAAGTACGTACGTACGTAAGTCTCGTTATATTAAAAACCGGTTTGATGGCTTTTATATTACTACAATACATATATATTACGACATTATTTCTATAACTGACGTCCATTATATAAATGATCCACTTTTCTTTATTTCTTTTCACATCGCCTTTGAATGTAATTAGCAATGACCACCGACATTTCAACCTACCGTTTTGTAAGTTTATATTCAAAATGCTTGTTAACCTAGCCAGAAATTCCTCTAACCACATACACAAAAATTTACGCCATTTAGAACCATACAATGATCCGAGTCAAGGATCCGGATGCATCACTTAAATTCTACCAAGAAGTTCTAGGAATGAAGTAAGGGCTTTCATTCAATTCAAACAAATTGTTTGATTTATGATTCTATTATTTATTTACCTCTTTTTCGATATGAAAATCAAGGCTTATCAATAAAATCGACTTTGCAGAATCTAAATTTACACTTTACTTTCTTGCATACTGTCATGAACCGTTACCAGAATCTCAGGGAGATAAAAACAAGTATATTTTTTCCAGAGAAGCCGTTTTAGAATTAACACAGTATGACCAAATATTTTGAGAATGTGGATGTTTAATTAAACGTTAATTACCAAAATTTTTAAGAAATTTGAATTTCCATTCTTCAAAATAGCAATTGGGGTACAGAAAAAGATTCTGATTTTCAATATCATGATGGTAATAAAGAACCTCGTGGATTTGGTCATCTTGCAATCAGTGTTGACAACATCGAGGCTGCTTGTGCCAGGTTTGAAGAATTAGGTGTCAAGTTTATCAAAAAGTTAAAGGATGGTAAATATTATAAATTATAGAATGTATTTTCAAGACTAATCACATGAATATTAAACTTTTCTCATCTGAATTTAAACAGGTAAAATGAATAATATCGCTTTTATTAGTGATCCAGATGGATATTGGGTCGAAATTATTTCATATGGTTTAGATGCTACTTGTTCTTCTAAACATTAATAAAGTATTGTAATCTGATATTTCAAACTTTATTTTTATCCAAAGTATAATTAATATTGAATATTTATAAATTGCGCCATTGATAGTGTTGTCACGGGACAGTTCTGAACATGAGTTTGGATATAAATATTTAGTATTATAAAAAATATATAATTATATGAAAATTACTTCGTATTACTACAGTCTCGGATTTTACCAAATATGTAAATCGATTTACAACATAGTAAAGAATACTCTAGAATCGATTTATATATTAAAACAGCCGGTAGCGGGATCATGAGA